TCAACACTCTCCCAGCAGGGGGATGGGGCTGGGAGTCAGAAGATAAATACTCTCTCCCTCTGCTGCAGGTCTAGTAGAAGGCTGGAGGTACATTCCAGGCTTCCCCTCCCAGGGACTTGTTGCCAGCTGCAGGCTCTGGAAGCCAGGGCTGTCCTTCCTCCTTGTCACTGTCCCTTTTCCTTTCCCGAGACAGCTTTCCAGAAGGAGCTGCCTGTTCTGAGCCTTCTCTCAGCCTCCTGGTTTTCAGCAAGCCAAGAAAAGGCCAGTGTGATGGTTGACATGGGCTGTTAGCTTGACAGTCACCCAGGAGACAAACCTCTGGCCGTGTCGCTGAGGGGGTTTCTAGGATGGGTTAGAGACACTATCCCATGGGCTGAATATCCTGGACTGAATAAAAATGAGAACAGCAAACCAGCGTTCACTTCCATGTTTCCCACCTGGGGATGCAAGATGACTAGCTTCCTTGAACTCCTACCACCATGATTCCCTGCCAGGATGGACTGCGCCCTCAACCATCAGCCAAAGCAGTGGCTTTGCCATGGATTTTGTCAACAAAAAGATGGATGAGACAACAAAAGATAGGTGGACAGCAAGGGGCAGACAAGAGGCTTGCTCTGCATCAGAAGAGAGTGGTGTGCCCTGAACTGAACCTCCTGCTCCGTCCAAGACTTCACATCTTGTAAATAATTCAAAAATAAGAATTAAAAAAAAATAAAATAAACTGAAAGAAAGGCAGAATGGAAGAGACGACACCTAAGTGCAGGAGCCTGGATACAACACAGACTATATACAGCATAGGCACCAGGGGCCGGATGGAGTCAGGAGTAGGAGAGGAAGAGCCTTGATCAAAGACCACCAGGGAAGGCAATACTGGACAAGAAAATGCATGCTGCAGAGTGAAAAGCCACAGACTGGCCTCACTAGAACTACAAACACAAGAGAACCAAGTACACGCATGGAGAACAGCTGCCCCTAGAGACTCACGCTGGATCCCTGGAGAAAGTGACTAGATGGGGGGCCAACACAATCCCTGCCTTCACCTCTTGAAACGTTCAACTCAATAGCTGACACCCAGCTCCACCAGGAAGGACATCACAGACTTCGTAGATGAACCAAGTCAAGGAGAGGTGAACTGAACACACTGAGAGCCAGAGGCCAGATCTGGGCAAAGCCAAAGGAGGGAAGGGGACAAACGTGTGTTTAGCATCTGTCTCTACTGAACTCTGAAGCAGCGGTCCTCACCCTTCCTGGTGCTGTAGCCCTTTAATGCAGCCCCTCATAAGATGGTGACCCCCCAACCAAAAAGTTGTTTTTGTTGCTATTTCATAACTGAAATTTTTGCTACTGTTACGAATCATACTGTAAATATCTGATTTGCAGGATATCTGATGTGCAGCCTGTGGGGTTCAAGACCCACAGACTGAGAAGCCCTCCTCTAGCAGGAAGGAAGGAGATGAGGAGTACAAAAGTGAGTTTCACACTGTCCAACACACTACAGCCTGCAAAGTTCTCATAACTGTGCCTAGGGCCTGGTACATCCATTATACAAACACTTGTAATCACTGTCTTCTTCCAACCCCCTCTGTAAAATACCTACTTTCCATCACTGTATTCAACTGGAGGGGAGGGATCACTATCTACCTTGCTCATGGTCATGGGGCCTCACACACTTGGGCAAAGACACCACAGTGGTATAGGTGTGGCGAGGGTAGAGTTGCTTCCTACCTCCTGGCAGGCAGGAGCAGAGAGCCAGGAAGGGACCAACAACAAGGCCACCAACCAAAGACCCATCCCCCATTAACTCTCTTCCTCTGCTAGATCTACTGTCCTGAAGTTTATAGAATCTCCCAAAGTAGCAATATCCTAAGCTGGGGAATAACCTAACATATGAACCTACAAGGGGTATTTCATATTCAAACCATAACACACATAAAATCATGTTACCTAAAAGTAGCTTTTCACAAGCCGGCGAAATGGTTCAGCAGACAAAGGTGCTTGCCACTAAACCTGAGGACCGAAACTCAATCCCCAAACCTCAAGTGACGGAAGGAGAAAACAGACTCCATTTTTGCTGGCATGTTGTCTTCTGACCTCAACAAGCAAGTCATGGCTCATATGTGTGCATCACACAAACATGCACACGCAAACACACACAAAACACAGGCACCAGACAGAAACACACACTAATTAATCAACTAAATACTTTCTTTTAAAAATCAACGGGAAAATAACTTTCTAAGCAAGGGTTAATGGTACAGACCTGTGATACCAGCTAGTTAGAATTGAGGTGGAAAAATCCCAAGTTCAGAGTCAGCCTGGGGTTCAGAGGAAGTGCAAGTAAGTTGTCTCGGCCACTCAGTGAGACCCTATTTCAAATCATAAAAAGAAAACTAGGGCTATGACTCACTGGCAGAATACTTGTCTAACATGTATAAGAACCTAAAACCAAGATCAGTATAGAGTATGAGGTTAGCATGTACAAAGCTCTGAGTTCAAAGCCAGCACAAAAGACGGATAGATAGACAGACAGACAGATAGATAGAAAGTACTTTTTCAGGATCCAAGGCCCTCGTTCCCCTCCCGTCTTGGTTCTGAAGTCACATCTTACTCGAGGCTATGATGTGACTCCCCTCTCCCCAGGGGGTGGCACTGTGAAGGGGTGGGGTGGCAGAACCTTTGGTGCAGTCTACCTAGAGCCACGGGCCACCTGGGTTATTACGTCTGCTTCTCAAGTTGGCCTGAGCCTTCTGCTTCCTTGAGCGGCCCCAGCTGCGCCACCATGCCATCCGTCTAACTCAGACTGCACAGTGAGCCAGCGTAAATCCTGCCTCTCAGCGGCTGCTCTCGTCAGTGATTTTATCTCAGCAACCAGAAAACTATCACACTTGGCCAAATCAGTCATTTCGATTCCCAGTGCACTACAAGCAAACGAAAAGGAAAAGTTTGTGTGTTTGGAATGTCCACCTCCTTTGTCTTCTGTCTTAACTCTCCTTTTCAAAATTATCCCAGAGGAAGATGTCTTCCCTCACCCCCACCCCCAATGTAACGGTCTTGACCTTTCTCTCGAAGCCTCACAACACTTATGAATGAAAATTCTGCATGTTTGGCATGACCCAACTGTGTTTATCACATTGGTGAGCTGGTAAAGTCAAGTGCTCAAAACACACTGGATTCTCAGTGAACTGTTAAAGCACCACACAGAAGACATCACAGTACCAGGCACCCTGCTCTAAATTATTAAGTTATAAGCCCTCGTCATCTTCCCTGAAATACATATAACGAAACAAGATGAATCATAGCCTGTAAACGGACCCAGTCCCCCCCCCTCCACGGAACCACGGCAACACACATGAAATCATCACTCACACCGACGAGAAACTTCTAGAGCGTTGTCTAGCTCACAGAAAGCTCCAGTTCCTTCCCATCTGTAGAAGGAACCAGTGACAACAATTGGCTAACTTCTCACACCTACCCCACAAAAAAAAAAGTCTATGAGCAGAGCAACCCGTCCACCATGGAGAAAGCCGTTTTACGGGTCCTGAGGAGTTAGGCCACCTTCTGTCTTAAGCCAGACACTAGCCATGCTCCACTCTTCGGGAGTTTTAATATAACCTACCCCACAAGGTCCACACAACCTGAAAAGGATCTTTCCAAGAACCCTGGAGGTAACAGGATGCAATGACGTCACTGTGAGTAATATAGTCAGAATATGTAATCTTTCACTCCACTCTACCTGGGACTTTTTAAAAGATATGAAAATAAAATATTAACAAATTTGTTAATTATTTGTAATTTGTATCCAAATCGTCTAAAACAGCACAATACAAAAATGAAATAATCCTAGAAAAGATAATAACGCCAGAACACCAATGTACACCAAACAAATTAACGCTCACCACCCAGAACTCCAACGTATACCAAACAAAATGAGGCTCACCACCACCCCCCCAAATCGATCCACAGGTTCAAGGGGGGAGGGGAATTTCTGAGATTTTACCACTCATTTGGGGGTCCTCCTCCCAATAACTATATTCTAAGAATAACATGTCGTACAACTTCTGTGAAACCTGCCTCTCCCTCCAACCCATGCACCTCGCGATGCCCCAAGATCTGCTGGGTGACATATGAGATCCAAAGTGGAGGGATAAAAATAGCCTGGTCCTCAAAAAGGCAGATAGCCGCCAGACAGCTGAGTCACTTTGAAGCCCATTTTGACTACTGAGAGGGGCATGTCACCCTGCGTCTGCTTTCGCAAGCTTTCACACAAGCTCACAACCCACCAGGTTGGAAACCTCCACCAGGCTCCCCGGTGGAAGACCAGGATGCCTTTTAACTTCCCCTCCTCCTGCGGGGTCACGATTCGGGAGTGAACTTTTAATAATTCAGATAGCTCACGTCAGTCCAGTGACTCACTTGGAAGGGAAGGATTTGAGAAAGGCTTTAGGGAGCCATCATAAGCTAGCGGCAGGCCCCTTATTTCTGTGGCCCTAGTGGACCACCCGGTCCTGACAATGGCCAGAAAGGAATAGAATGGGAAGTAGGAGGAGGCGAGCTCAGAGGCCATCAGCATTGTCCCGCAGTGGGAAACCATGGGCAAGGAAAAGAGAGACTCGAGACTAGAGAGGCTAGCTGTGCACGCCGCTGGCTAGGGAACTCTCACCTACCACGTCCCCGCCCTCTGTCACCCCGGAAAGAGCTCGGAACCCTGGACTAACTCTTTCTGGCCTTTCTCGGTGCTGGAGTTGTGGGCGGGATGCTGATGGCCCGGGGCCCTGGCAGCCCAGCCGCAGGCTAGCAGAGCAAAGGCCCCAGAGGACTTTGTCTTCGGCCGCCGCAGCCCGGGGAGGCTCCGCTTGGTGTTGGGGAGCCAAACCCTGGGCCAGGAGAAGCAGCAGGAGGAGATCGAGGTTCCCGGCCCGCAGTTCATCTAGTCCCCTGCCCCGCGCGTCACCCAGTTCCTAGGCCGCCGGCTGTGCTACCACGCCAGGGATCTTCCTTACCGGGGAGTCGTAGGAGAAGGCGCACTCGTTCTTGTAGACACGGTCCCCCGACCTGGGCACGCGGATCGTGGGCATGTGCGGTACCAGCAGCTCTCCCAGGTCCCCTGCAGCCATCTTCCTGCCGCCGCTAGGCACGCTGAACAGGGCGCCCCGGCGCTGCATGGCCGCGGAGCGCAGCGGGCCTGGGAAGGAGCGCAGCGCAGCGGAAGAGCGGGACCGGGGAGCTGCTGTCGTGCGGGCTGGAGATCCGCTCCGGCAGAGGCTCGGCTCCAGCTGGGGAGCTACGGCCCTTGCCCGGGCTGGCGGGAGAGCGGGCGGGAGCTGCTATTTTTAATCCAATGGCGAGTCGCCGGCCCAGCTGCAGCGTCAGGCGGGGCGCGCGCCAGCCGCAGCGCCGGGGAGGGGGATGCCGAGCGGGTGGGGACACTGGAATCGAAGCCGGGGAGGTCCCGGGGTCCCCGAGCACGGAGCCCAGCCCGCTGTGGTCAGCACCTCGGGGATGCAATCTCCAGCTGTCCAGGACCAGGTCCGGGTAATCCCGCACAAAAAGCGGTGCGCAGCGCGACCTCCCCCTCCATCGGAAAGGGGTGGGTGGGACTCGAGTGTTGCCTCGCTCTCGTGCTCTTCCTCGCTTCTCACTTTTTAACATGCAACGCTCTATAAAAGACTCTAGGATCCAGGCGGGCCTAGAGAAGGGGAGGGGTATATATTATTTTCTTGCGATATTACAGGGTTTTCTTATATGTTGCAAGAGGAGGCGCCGTCGCGATCCTCCCTCCCCTTTCAGGATAAGAGTGTCTTTTTTTCCCCTGGCTTTACAGTATCTCCCGCATGACTCAAGGTCCCCTGTTGAACATTCGGTGGCCTGATTTGAGGATCTATACGCAAACGTACATAGTCCTGCACTTGCTTGTGGACTCTTCAAAATAAAATAATGAATGGGGGAGGGTCTTAATAATGTGCCAATAGAGCCAGCCTACAGTGTGGTTTAGTTCCATTCTTACAGCACACGTCCTACTTCATTGAGGTTCGCTAACTTCATGCAGCATACTAACATACAACCAGAACATAGCACTCCACCGTACCCAGAAGCAGCAAATCCAGACAGGACAGTTCTGAACGTCCCTTCCCCATATTGCTTCGGAACAAAGAATTAGATATATCTCTTGACTTCCTCGCTATCCAGTAGGATCTGGGTCTGCTCACAAATTGGTTATAGAGAGAAACTTGATTTAAAATGTACAACGCATAAAGTCCAATAATGGATTGAATGCAAATCAGTGAGATTTGTTTCTTATGTTTGCAGCTGATTAAAGATTTATCAAATTAGTCCTGGTTTGAGAAATGCTGTTGTACGTGTTGTTGGGAACAAATGTTGCAAACACCTGGAAGGTATTTTTGCTTTTATTTTTGTTGTTGTTTGAAACCGACTCTCAGTTTGTATCCCAAGCTGATCTTGAACTCCTTGTGTTCCTCCTGCCTCAGCCTAACACCCATCATCCCCACTTGGTCCCCTAAAGCTGGGATTTCAGGCTTGTGCCATCAAGCCTGGCTTTCTGGAAGGAAATTTAATAGCACTGATGTTAATTTTATATGCATATACTGTTTTCCCAGCAATCTCCTGTGTGGCATTTATGCCACATTTAAATTCAATCAGGGTAGGCTGCTTGTTGGAGCACTGTTTCTAACAGGGGCTGGGAACAAAGAAAAGACCCATCAATAGGAAGTAGTAATGTAAAGTACCACTGAAAACAATGACGTTGCTCCGCGCTGTCAAAAGTCACAACACTGATGGAAAGAAAATGCAGTTGAGTGTGGGAAAGCCAGGCACGTGTGTCCTGCTGAGCCTTTCTTCCCGTCTGCTCTGCCCATTCCTGTACCCAAATATCTCTTGGAAAATGTGCAGGCTATGTAATTGTCAAGATGGTGGAGAGGAGCAGAAAGCCTGCTGTCACATGGAATGCGTTTACCACCCTGTACTTTTCTATATGGTTCTAATGGTTTTGTTTCCCTTTGCTTGTCTGTGACACTGGGATTGAACCCAAGAGCCTGTTGCTATTAGTCACATACTCTGCCACTAAGCTACGTTCCCAGCTCCATATTGAGACAAGGTCTAGCTAAGTTGTCCAGGATGGCCTTGAACTTGCCATTGCCCCATACCTAGTTTCAGCATCTTATTAGATACATGCATCACTAACTAAAATCAGACCTCATGATATGGCTCAACAGGTAAAGGTGAATGGAATGCTGTTTAAGCCTAGTAACCTGAGGTCAATCCCCGGAACCCACATGAAGGTAGAAACAGAGAATTGACTCTATAAAACTGTGTTCTGACCTCTCTACATTCAGAGAGAAGAGAGAGAGAGAGAGAGAGAGAGAGAGAGAGGGAGGGAGGGAGGGAGGGAGGGAGGGAGGGAGAGAGGGAGAGAGAGAGAGAGAGAGAGAGAGAGAGAATATTAACTAAAGGGCTGGAGAGATGGCTCAGCGGTTAAGAGCATTGTCTGGTCTTGCAAAGGTCCTGAGTTCAATTCCATCAACCACATGGTGGCTCACAACCATCTGTAATGAGGTCTGGTGCCCTCTTCTGGCCTTCAGGCATACACGCAGAAAGAATATTGTATACAAAATAAATAAATATTTTTAAAAATTAACTAAAATTCAATTATAAAAACATCTTAGGTTCAATAGCCAGTCACAGAAGTTGGAGGCCATTGCTGTATCACTACAATGTACACCAACCCTTTTTCATATAACAACAGAGATTTAAATGATGGGCAATAAGTAAGTAGTGTCACACACCTGTAATTGCTTGGAAGCAGAAGATATCAAAAATTCAAGGCCAGCATTGGCTACACAGTGAGTTCCAGGTTAGTCTGAGCAACAAAGAGAACCCATCTCAAAACAAAACAAATTGCAGGAAGTGATATTTGTAGAACACTCCAAAGTCAAAGAGACTTCCCACAGGAGAAGTGACTAGTCTGGGGACTGTGACAACTTCAGTCCCCATCGATGGCCTTCCAGAGAGCTAATGAGTTTGTGCCAAGTATGCAAGCATAGAAGCATATTCATTTATGTGCAGGAAAATATCATATACAGGACAGATGTAAAACCTATGTGCATAGCAAAAAGCACTAGCATCCCAGATGACAGCTCTAACCACAACAGAGGAAAATGGACATCAACTAAACACTGAGAGATAATTAAACTATGTACAACTACTCAAACACGCAAATCTTAAAATAATCATTATGGACATTGCCTTAATATTTTTACTGTATCTTGGTTAACATGCAATTCTTGTGTAATACCATTGAAAGTCAGTTAAATAGGGCCAGGCATAGTGGCATGTAGGAGAGACCCAGCCAATCACCTTACTTGTAGGGTGGGGTCCCCCGAGGATATTTTTTACTTATAAAGATTGCGTGCGCTCCAGGCCACCCTTCTGCTTTTCTGTTCTCCGCTGGAACTTCTGGTTCTGTAAGTCTATTTCCCAATTAAAGCTGTATATATTTATTACAATTTCTGTCTGCATTCATTTATGCCGTTACAGTGGCACACACTTCTAATCCCAGCGTTTGGGAGACAGAGGCAGGAGGATCTCTGTGAGTTCAAGTTCAAGGCCAGCCTGGTCTACAGAGTAAGTTCCAGGACAGCCAAGGCTGATACACAAAGAAACCCTGTCTCGAAAAGCCAAACATGAAAACCAAAATAAATAAATAAAATTTGAAAAGGAAGGAAGGAACCTAAGTCAGTTAAACAGACCCATCTTTGATAAACTAGAAAGACAGATTTAAGTGGCTCTGTTTGTAAGTTGGTCATAGGATTTTGTTTCTGCTTTCAGTTTGTCTCCAACAAGGTCACAAGTGTCGTCCAACTAAAACATTATGAAGACGAAACCAGGGCAAAAGAGACGTTACTGAATTAAGAAAATGTCCTCATGGAGACATTTTAAGGCTGGAGTACGGGAAGCCAAGAACTGCATTTTGGTTACAGCCATCTTAAGTTCACAAGTTAAGAAAAATATTTACCTCTATCCCCTCTGCAGGGTCTAGGAAATCAACCTGGCATCTTATCTCCTAGCATAGACCTACAGGCACCAGGCTCAGGAATCAGTTAGCATTTTCCTTTGTTAGTCAACAATCACAGTCCCTCAGTAATTACTTATCAGCTAGGATTGTCTCCAGACCTGAATTCCAGCAGTCCTGAGTATCCTAACACCCTTCCCCCACACACACTTTGTCGTTTTGCTAAAAAACAGCCTCTGAGAGGGAATAAACGAGATGGCCTGATCAGAAATCCTATCTTGCCTTCATTTCTCATGTCTCTTGTCTCCTTCATTCCTCTCCCCTAGGTTTTTCAGGGATCCCAGTTCGTATCCCGCTGGCCGGGATACTGGAGACAGTGGCACGTGCATGTAGTCCCATCTACTTGGGAGGCTAAGAGAAGAGGATGTCTGGGTCCACAAGTTCAAGACCAGCCTGTGCAACACACTCAGTCCATACAAATGGAAGGGAGGGAGGGAGGGAGGGAGGGAGGGAAGGGAAGGGAAGAGAGAGAAAGAGAGAGAGAGAAGGAAAGAAAGACAGACAGACATAGGAGAAACATCTGGTTCAATTACTGCAAACCTTAAACTTAGTTTTTTAAATCCTAGATATGAGCTCATAACTGGACTGTTTTATTTCTCTGCACATAGCCCTCAATCAACAAGCAGATTGAAGAAGCAATGGCAAATAAACACTTCTGACAAATCCAATGTCTCAACATTTCAGACTCACTTTTTGCCACATCAAAGGACTATGGTCGCAGGTCATTGTCCTTTGGCCCAGCTTTTCCTATGATATCCTAGCAGAGCTCAGCTAAGCAGGTAGCATTCTGGGGCCCCTCCCCTGCCCTTCAAAGTCCACCTCACTACCGTATTTCTGAAGGTATCAAGTGTTCCCTAAAGAGAGATGAAGGGGCACCAGCTTTAATTGAACATTCTCTCCTCTCATGTCTATAACAGCCTCCTCCTCCTCCTCCTCCTCCTCCTCCTCCTCCTCCTCCTCCTCCTCCTCCTCTTCCTCTTCCTCCTCCTCCTTCCCTTCTTCCTCCTCCTCCTTTTCTTCTTCTTTTCTGGTTTTTCAAGACACAGTTTCTCTGTAGCTTTGGAGCCTGTTCTGGAACTCGCTCTGTAGAGCAAGCTGGCCTCAAACTCACAGAAATCCACCTGTCTCTGCCTCCAGAGTGCTGGGATTAAAGGCATATGCCACCACCGCCCAGTTAATCTCAGCCCTTTCAAATGCAGTTGCTTTTCCACGAAGTCCTTTCTAACAGCTTCAACAACTTTCAGAGATCCATCTTTACGATTGATATCCATGGACTTAGCAGGTAAGAAAGGACACTGCTCTTGTAGGGGACCCACGTTCAGTTCCCAGAAGGTTCACAATCTCTTGTAACTCCAGCTCCAGAGGGTCCCAACACTCCTTCTCACCTTCACAGGCATCCTGCATGCACACAAGTGTGAGAGAACATGTGAAGGTGTACATAATTTTAAATGATACTAATAAATTACAGCATCTCAGTGGTGGAGAATGTTTACTTAACAGATGCAAAGCCCTGCATTTGATCCTGCATTTGAGCACATGAAAATAAATGCCAACAAACACAAGA